ATCATATGATTTTTTTGGGGGTGGCTGAGTGAGTTGTGCATGGTGAGGATTCAGAGGAGCACAGCACATTTAGGAGGGACACCTCACTGTGGCCATTTCTGTGTGCAGAATAATTAAGAAATTCATAGCACCCAGGAATTTGGGTGGGTTTTTTTCCTACTTCACAGAACCAAGTCATTAATTGCACAGAAATTTTCCTTACAAAGCCATTCCTTAATGTGCAGTTGTTTAGTGAAAGCCTAAAACAGACTCATTCCCCTTGCTGGACTGTTAATAAACAATTAATGAAAACTGCAAAAATTCGGGGATCTGTAAAGGTCACTTGGTGGTCAATTTGGGAAAAAACACACAAAAAATAATTTGTGGAGAATTTTTGACAGTTTTACTGTAGGTTATAGAGCAGAGTTTGAATTTGGGACCTCCCACTCATGACTTTGACATGTAATGCAAGGAGAAATTTAAATATTTAAAAGAAATTTAAATATTGGGCTCCTGACCTGCACCTGCACTGACAGATCTGCTCCAAACAGCAGCTGCAGCCAGAAAATTCCTATTTTTTCCCATTCCCTGGAGCCAGCCAACATTTTGCTTTCTATTCTTTTACCAGAAACCAACAGAGATGCAAGAAGCCAAGCTTTAAATAGATACATAGAGCTAGTTGAATATATGTTTATATAAATATGTTTTATAGGCACAAACAAGGAAAAACCAAGGTGCTTATTTTGTATTCCTAAGGAAAAACGCTCTGTTTGACAGCATCCTTCTTTCAAACTCATTTGGCATAAATTATGGGCTGTAATTCCTATTTTACCCTCTCAGGCAGGCCTGTGAGTGGGACCTGATGAGGAAAAAGAAGTATTTCCATCATATTTTTTTAAAAATCTTTATTTACACAGCAAAATATTTGATGGGCCAAAGACTGAGTGATGAATTCATCCCTCTGAGGGGTTTTGCTCAGGGGGAAGGAGTTTGTGGGGGCTTGAGGGGTGGGATGCAAGGGCAGAGTTGGTCATTTTCTCTCTTTCCTCCATCCCTGCAGGGCTCAGTCCCAAATCCCTGGGTACCTGTGGAGCTGGGGCTGAGGCAGAGGCTGCTGCTGGACTTTTCTGCAGCCTCTGAGAGCAGAAATTCCAAATAAAATCAGGTCCCTCTCACAGGCAGAGCTCTGCTGATGGGACAATTAGTGAAATTAAGGAAGAGCCAATGGAAGTCCCTGCTGGGGCATCAAGCCCCTGAAGTTTGCACGCTTTTTTAGTGATGTATTTTTATCTGCATGATATTTTATCTCAGAACATTTCCCCCCATGCCTTGCTCTTGCTGTTTGCAGTGTCTTTCCTACTTCACCCTCCTTTTTTAAGCTGGGCTTGGATAAAGCCCAACACTTTTTAAACTGGACTAGAAGCAGAAGGCTGAGCTCTCAGCAGAGGGAGGATTTTTGTGTGGTTCTCGTTATGGTCAATGCCTCATTCCCCATTACAGTCATTTCCTCTGAAGCAAATGGGATTTGGCCATCATATTTTATGTTTATTGATACATTTTTCCCAGCTCCATTGACATTCCCCTTTTTTTTTTTGTTTTTTCCCAGCCAGAAGTGACAGGAAGCCAGGAATCCCCCAGCATTAAGGAGTGAAGTGCTGCATCCCTCAGAGCTCTGTGCTCTGCCTCAAAGTGGGGTTAAAATTGGCACATCAGTGTGGGGGCCAGGGCAGCAACACCAATTCTGCTGCAATATTTTGGGGCCAGATGTTTAGCTGAGATATTTCCTGGCAATATTTCACCCTGTTTAACCAGGGACTGAGTGGGGAAAGGTTTTCCTTGGGCCTTGACACTGAGGAGTGTCACGGGCAGGGCTTTGAGGTGGAAGAATCAATTTAATTCTTCCTGGTGAATAAAATACCTGCTGTGCATTTGGAAGTCATTGCTGTTAGGGTTTTCTTTGCCCTTCCCCAGATTCTCCAGAGCTGCAGTTGCACAGAACCTGTGCCTTGCTGTCTGTTCGAAATGATTATTCCATGTTGCTGGGTGCTTTTAAGTGATTTCCCTGCACTTCATCTCAGAAGCCAAGACTAGGAGGAGCTGGGTGCCCCAGGGGACCAGCAGTGCTGCACAAAGCTTCTGAACCCATTTTGCACCACCAGAAACAGTTACTCAGTGATACCATCCAGTAAATTCTGAAAAAAATAAGTAATTTTCTTCCTTTTTCCTCTTTTCTGGTTCATCTGAGTCACTATTTTTTTCTACAATGCTCCAGCCAACACTTGGTACCCAGTGTGAGGAAATGTGAGCACCTAAGCCATAATTTGTCACCTAATTAAGTGACCTGATTTTCTCAGGAGCAGGATGCGTTTTCCAGCTCCCACTGCACTCAGCAACTGTGAAAATCAGGCCACTTTGGCATGGCTGGGACCAGTTTTGAGTACTCAGCTTCTAAAAAGCTGATTTTGGCCTGGGAGCTGGAGGATGGGTCCTCTCCAGGTTTTGGTTAAGGTGGGATTTTGGGAGGAAAGCAGAGACTTACCAGTAATCAGCATCATTCCTTGCACTAAATTAAAAAAAATAAATAAATAAAAAAGGAAGAAGTCTCTCATTTGCAGGTCCTGGGATAAAAATATCCTCTGGCTTTGTTTGCTTTATGCAGCATTTCCTCCTCACAATGAAAATTAAATTGACAAGGGGGTTGGTTGTCCCTGTGGATGATGGAGGCAGCTCTGGAAATCCCAGGTGAACAAAGGTGTGGCTCCAGCCTCGTGTTCTCTGCCTCCCCTCAGCTCTGCAGGAGCTGCAGTTAATTCCAGCAGTGCTCCTCTGTGGGGTTTGTTCCAAAGAATCATCAGGTCATGAAGGAAAATGAGGGAGGGTGGGAGAGCCTGGACTGTGCACAGCTCCTCCAGAGCTCTGGGCGTTTGTTCCAAAGAATCATCAGGTCATGAAGGAAAAGAGTCCCTGAGGGGGGGTGGGAGAACCTGGACTGTGCACAGCTCCTCCAGAGCTCTGGGCAGAGGAAATCCCGGAGAGGGCCAGAGCTGCTCCGGGAGGGCAGGCTTCACTGCCAGCCTTCAGGGGAGAGTTCTGCAGAGTCACATCTCTCTTGTGAAGAGCAAAGACAGCCCCGGCAGGAGGGGAGGGAGTGAGCAAGGGCAGCACAGCAAATGATGGAAGCAGGGCAGGAAGAATCCCCAGGCATTGCTCCCAGAGAGGTGCCCCTTATCCTTTAGAGAGATCCTCCTTATCTTTTAGAGAGATCCTCCTTATCTTTTAGAGAGATCCTCCTTATCCTTTAGAGAGGTGCCCCTTATCCTTTAGAGAGGTGCCCCTTATCCTTTAGAGAGATCCTCCTTATCTTTTAGAGAGGTGCCCTTTGTCTTTTAGAGAGATCCTCCTTATCTTCTAGAGAGATCCCCCCTGTCTTTTAGAGAGTTCCCCCCCACCGTCTTTTAGAGAGGTGTCCCTTATCTTTTAGAGATATGCCCCCTTATCTTTTAGAGGTCCCCCCTGTCTTTTAGAGACATTCCCCTTATCTTTTAGATAGATTCCCCCCATCTTTATTATAGAGTCCCCCCTTATCTTTTAGAGAGATATCTCCTATCTTTTAGAGAGGTACCCCTTATCTTTTAGAGAGATTCCCCTTATCTTTTAGAGAGCCCCCCTTATCTTTTAGAGAGTTCCCCCCTATCTTTTAGAGAGGTGCCCCCCTATTTTTCAGCTCCTTTGCCTGAGCTGCTTTCCAAAGCAAAGCACTTTCTGCTTTGCACAGAACACTTTCCAGAGCAGAGCAAGGTCAGCAAGGCAGGAGCCCCAGCCCACAGCGTTCACCACCCCAAATCCACCAAATCCATCCTCCCAGAGGGCAGGTGCTGGCCCAGCACTGCTGATCTCCAGGGAATGCTGGCAGATAAGGGCAGCAAAACAGCGTGGGGAGGAAGTGTATTCATCACCACACATTTGCAACACAGCTCTTTATTTCTGTTTTTTTTTCTTTTTTGTTTTTTATCATTATCAGCATTATCTTTCTGCCTTCCTCTTACCCTCCAAACGAACCAAAATGTGTGTGTTCACAGGGTGGGGAGGCTGAAGCACAGCTGAGTCAACAGCACATGGCTGGGGGCTGGGGGTGACCTTCAGGAATGTCCTCTGGGGGTGTCAGAGCATTTGGAAAGCACTGCAGACACAAGGGGTGACACAAGCATGGCCACAAGCCCTGGAGGGTCCCTGACCCCAGACCCACGGGCTGGAGCCTGGATCTGCTCCCTTTCCCTTTAGGAAATCACCTACTCATGGGGAATTCTGCACCCTCCCCAGCTGAGCTCCTGTCTCTGCCTCATGACCCTAAAATTTCTGTCATTTTCTGCCTTCTTCACTCATAATTCTCGCTCCATTTGGGTTCTGGGTGAATCCCTCCCTTTGGCTGTCCCTGGTGCCACAGGGCTGAGCTGATCCACAGCTGGTGTCGAGCACTTGGAAAACATAATTCCACGTTTAAAGCTGTTACTTGTGCTGGTGTGCTCAGAAAACTTGCTGAACAGGAGAGCTGGGTGTTCCCAGATGCAGGGAAAAGGGATTCAGAGACATCCTGAAGGGAAAGAAGCAGAAGAGCAATTTGAGTACAGCAAGGACTAAAGGGAACTTTTCTAAGCTGGAAAATCTCTGTTTGTGCCCTCTCGTGGCTGTTGAATTTTTCTCCTCCTCGCTGCAACTCCTGCATTTTAAGACCCAAATCTTTGGGGTTTCATGCTGAAATTGCCAGCAAAAAGACCATTAAATGCTGGTGTTTCTCTGTCCAGAAAAAGTGGGGAATTGGGAAAACCCAGAGGTCCATAATTCATGTTTTGTGCTGGCTGCATGACTTTGTCCTTCAGTTTATGGGGATTTGACAGGTGGCACATCCAAAAAAAAAAGCCCCAGGGGTTGGAGAATTGGAAAGGGCATCCCATGAGGGCCCAAACACACAGCAACAGACCCAGCAGCACTGAAATTCTCTTTTTATTTTGCTCTCTCTGCAGACAAAAAGCGCTGGCATCGACAGGTGGAAGGAGTGTTCAAGCAGCATGCGACTGGTTGGTATGAAGTAATAAATGTTAAAAAGCAGCAGAAATGGTGGATTTAGGGTTTCAGCCATTAGAATGTGGCATTTTTAAACAGGGCTGTTGTCTGAAAAGCACCTGCAGAGTTAGTGAGGTGCTGTTTAAGTGCTGGAAACGAGCCTGGTCTGAGAGGGGTTTGTGATCTGCAGCAAAGGTGTTATAATAATGTTCTTTTTTTTTTTTTTTAATGACTAAGCAGAGGTAACTGAGTCAGCAGAGGGGCGAGGCAGCTTCTGGAATTGCCTGTCACATTTGAGTCCCCAGGGTTTTGGCCAAAGTCCTTGAATATCTGGGAATAAGAGCTTTATTCAGAGGGACCATCATCAGGCAAGGCCCTCCAGGGAGAGTGGGCTCTGTTAAATCCCTTTGGCTGCCCTTAACAGGAAGCACTGGGGGGAATAAATTCCCAAGCAGGTGGGAAGGGGAATAGGTGAGAGAAGGAACCCCCCCACTCTGCAGCTGGGAGCTGCCTGCTCAGAGACATGGAGTGATTCCTGGTGCTCTCCTCCCTGTGTTCTGCACTCTGAAAGGCAGAAAAGGCAGAAGCAGCGACCTGGCTTGGATCTTCAGAGCATCAGCCTGAAAGTAACCCCCAATTTTCTGTGTTACTGAGCAGTGCTAGTGGGCTGCAAGTGAGGCAGAGCAGCTCTGCCTGCCCCTCCAGAGCTGCATTTTCCCATGCAGGGACAACGAGCGGCAGCACGGGGGGAGCTGGTTTTATTGGGGGAAGAAAATCTGCGACTCTCTCTCGATTTAAGAGCTCTTTCTGCCTGCCAGGCTCTTCTCCCACGTGGGTGACCCGTTCCTGGATGACACCCTGCCCCGGGAGTACGTGCTGTACCTGCGCCCCACCGGGCCCCTGGCGCAGAAGCTCTCCGAGTTCTGGCAGCAGTCGAAGCAGATCTGTGGCAAGAACAAAGCTCACAACATCTTCCCCCACATCACCCTCTGCCAGTTCTTCATGGTAAAGCGCAGCTCCTCTCCCCTCTCTGCTTTAGCCATTCCTTGCCAGGCTCAGCCTGGAGACTTCAGCCTGGCTTAGGGAGGGGCTGCGGGGATTTTGCCGATGCCTGGGCTGCTGGAGGAGGGAATTGTTTTTTTAAGCTGTTGTTTTCAGGGAAGAGCAGCAGCAGAAGACTGAATTCTCATCCTCTCCAGTGATCCTCAGCGTGAGAATGGCTGGGGGGAGCTTGGGGAGGTTACTTGGGGATAGCTGATCCTGCTTTGAGGACAAGGGAGGGGCCAAGGATTTCTAAACATAGATTTTTTTACTTTTTTTTCCATGCCCCTGTGCTTCTTCTCACTGCATGAGGGGAAAGGTAGGCCACTGACACCCACCCACATCCTCTCCTTTCCTGAGCCATGCCTGTCCTGCTTCCTTGGCAGTGTGAGGACAGCAAGGTGGACGCTCTCACGGAAGCCCTGCAGGCCACGGTGATGCGCTGGAAATGCAAATTCCCTGCCCCGCTGCCCCTGGAGCTCTACACGTCCTCCAACTTCATCGGGCTCTTCGTCAAGGAGGAAAGTGCTGAGGTGCTCAAGAAGTTCGCTGCAGACTTCGCTGCAGAGGCGGCTTCCAAAGCAGGTGAGTGACTGCTCTGGCAGCTGCCAGGTTGGGCATTGTCAGAAAAAACAAAGTTTGGGTGTCATGAGAGCCCATCCTGGGCATTGTCAGAAAAAATAAAGTTTGGGTGTCATGAGAGCCCATCCTGGGCATTGTCAGAAAAACAAAGTTTGGGTGTCATGAGAGCCCATCCTGGGCATTGTCAGAAAAACAAAGCTTGGATGGCACGAGATTCCAGCCTGGAGAGTCAGAAAACCAAAACTTTGAAGTCATGAAGGAGCTGAGCCTGGGCATTGTCAGAAAACCAAAGTCTGGAGGCCAAAAGAGCTCAGCTTGGGCATTGTCAGAAAAACCAAAACTTGGAAGCCTTGATAGAAAACCAAAACTTTGGTGTCACGAAGTAGCTCAGCCTGGGCATTGTCAGAAAAACAAAGTTTGGATGCTAAAAGAGCTCAGCTTGGGCACTGATAGAAAACCAAAGCTTGGATGCCATGAATTTGGGGTTTGTCAGAAAAACCGAAACTTTGGTGTCATGAAGGAGCTCAGTCTGGGCATTGTCAGAAAACAAAGTTTGGATGCCAAAAGAGCTCAGCTTGGGCCCTGATAAAAAACTAAAACTTCGAGGCCATTAGAGCCCAGCCTGGGCATTGTCAGAAAAACCAAAACTTTGATGCCATGCAGGAGCTCAGCTTGGGCATTGTCAGAAAAACCAAAACTTTGATGCCATGCAGGAGCAAAGCAGCTGCCAAAACTCACAGTTTGGGCCTTTCCAGAACCCCAAAGCTCTGATGCCACCAAGAAGCAAAGCTCAAAAGCAAATCCCTGATTTTTAAGTGAAAACTCAACACCCCAGTGGGTGCTTTGGCTTTTCAGCTGGGAGATGTCTCACCCTGAGTTTTCAGTGCTGTTTCTGGAAGGGAAGCTGACATTTGGTGGTTCTTTACCCTTTCACAGAGCTGCTCTGAGCCGTTTCCTGCCCGCTCGCCTCCTCCAGCCACCACCACAGAACTTTCCCCGGCCATTTCAAGGCCGTGGTTGTTTTTTCACTGCGTTTTTGAGGTGTGAAGAGGGCTCTGGGAGAAGACCCCAAGTGTTCTTTCCAACCTCAGAGCTCACAGGTGCTCCATGATCCTCTCCTGCTTCTGGAGGGGGAATAACCAGAACCTTGTCCTCTCCTCTGCTGAACAACCTCGCTGAGTGTCACCTCCAAACTGGGAATTCCCAACACCCACAACACCACAATCCCACCCTCCACCACTGCAGAGCTCAGCTTGGCCTGCCCACAACACAACTGGTTTAGTCCTTCCCAATCCCAGGCTTATCCTGGAGCTTAAATGCATCAAAAACGCAGCAAATTCTGCATTCCTGGGGTGTTCCCGTGCTGGGCAGGCACCCACAGCCATGCAGGGATGCTGTGAGTCTGTCCCTGCTCCACAGCAGGGAGCCAGAAGCTCTGGAAAGTTCTTTCCAGAGCCTCTGGAATGTGTTGCTTTCACCTGACCTAGAACTTCCTTTCCCTTTAGAAGAAGGAGGGAATTTTATCTTTTAAAAGAAGGTTTTGGAAGGTAGACATTGGGTGGGTCCAAGGACACTGCAGCCAGTGAGAGTGGGATCAGTGTTTCCCTCCAGCACAGCCAAAAATGCGATTTTTATCCAAAAAAAAAACCCACTGACCCAGAATAAAGAAGCTTTTGTGGCTTCCAACAATCTTCTGCCCTGAGACTACTCCAATTCAGGCCAAATTGGGGTTTCTTAGGGGAAGGCAATTGCTGCATTGCAGCCACAGCTTGGTCAGGTTATCACATTAAAGTCTCTGGGTTTTTTTTTTTTTCAGAGATCTTGAGCATATTTTATTGCTGATGAAAAACAACAACAGAAAAAAGATGGATGAGCTTGCAGAGCTACCCCTGGCTGGCACTTGGAGCCAAGTCTCTGAATAGCTGCAATTGTGACTGAATAATCAGTCAAATCTAATTGCAATTTTTGGTTGAATAAGCATGAATAAATTACGTGCAAACAATGTATCCTGTGATTTCCTCATCTACTGGAAGAGCCCAAATATTTCACATATTTTCACCTGGAATCATCTCCTGATGCAGATTCTTTTTTTCTGCAGGATCATTCTGAATCATTATTATGTTTCCACAATTTGGAAATACTTCACCCTCAGTGACTAAACTGATAATCCAACTAATGCCCAAGGAAAAGATTTAATCAACTTGCACAAACCTGCAAATTCCATAGATTTGTAATTTAGTGCAGCAGAGAGAATGACAGAGGGAGAGTAAAAATCATGCTTTTTTACCTGCTTATTTTGGAAAGATCCTCGGCTGCTCATAAAAACTTCCTGGATTTTCCTACCTGGAAAAATCTCTTTTTTCTTTTGGCAGGAGATCCTGCGTGTCCAGAGCTGCAGTAAGGATTGTCACACCCCCGTTGTTTGGCAGTTTGCAGGGATGCCTTGTCTGGCACCCTGGCTGAATCAGACCCCAAATCTCTGATATTTTCAATATTGGAGACCTCCTGTGGATGCTGACAGTCTGGTCAGAGAGTAAGTCAGATCAACTTTCCCAGGCATTGCTCTGGGGGAGCTTTGAGAAAGCTCAGAGAAAGAATTAAAATAATCTTTAATCTTTGCAGCTGGTGTTTTTAACTCGTTTACTTGCAAGATGTTTACAACAAGGGTGTTGTTCCTAATTAGCAAAGAGGTGAGGGGTATTGATTGAGGACCCACCAGGTCCAGCTTTCTCAGAACAGTCTATAAAACAATGTGATGTCTAAAAGACAATGTGATGTCTAAAAAACAATGTGATGTCTTTTCTGTTGCCTTCTGAGAAGACCTTGGAGTCTGTGTTGCTTTATTCAGCTGTCCCTAATACAACAGCAACAACCTCACACTCCCAGATTCCAGCTGAGCTCCAGCTTGTCCCACTTGAGCATCTTTGCAAGTGCAGCTCTGTTGGAGGCCACGGTCACTAACGTGGCACCAAGGGGTTTTCAGCCCTCCTCTCCCCATTGCAGATGTCCACGTGGAGCCCCACAAGAAGCAGCTCCACGTCACCCTGGCCTATCACTTCCAGAGCAGCCACCTGCCCACGCTGGAGAAGCTGGCCCAGAGCATCGATGTCAAGCTGGGCTGTGACTGGGTGGCCGCGATCTTCTCCCGCGACATTCGCTTCGTCAACCACGAGGTAAACTCCTGGAGCTCCTCTCACCCCAAAATATCACCCCTCTGCTGAAAGTCCCCTTCCATTTCACAGAATCACAGGATAATGAGGTTGGAAGGGATCCCAAAGATCATAGTGTCCAGCCCATGCCCTCACACCTCAACCAGACCATAGCACCAAGTGCCATGTCCAGCCTTTTTTTAAACACATCCAGAGATGCTGATTCCACCACCCCCCTCGGAAGAGCATTCTTTATTTATTATTCTTTCGGTGAATTTTTTTCTTAATATCCAACCTATACCTTCCCTGACGTGGCTGAGACTGTGTCCTCTGGTTCTGTCAGGGCTGCCCGGTGGGAGAGACCGTCCACACCTGTCTGCAACCTCCCTTCAGGAATTGAAGAGAGCAATGGGGTCACCTCTGAGCCCCCTCTTCTCCAGGCTAAACAACCCCAGCTCCTTCAAAAGCCCCTCATAGGGCTTGTGTTCCAAGCCCCTCACCAGCCTTGTGGCAGCAGCTCTCTGGCCACAGAGAGGAGCACAACTTTCCCAGGAATCATTCAGAGGAAAGAATGAGAAACAATTCTTATCTTCACTTGCTGATTATTGTTGGTGTTGTGCACACGTGGGATGTGTTATGGAGATTTGTTTACCAAAGGGTGGTTTCTTAATTAGCCAGTGGTGATGGTGTTTTAACTAAAAACACCAATCAATTCCACCTGTAGCAAGCTAGAATATAAAAAAGAGCAATGGGTTTCATAAAAAAAGATTATTATTCAGCCTTCTGTAATACTTGGAGTCTGTGCTAATTATTACCCAGCCGGGGGCCCGTTTGCTGTGATATCCATTAACAACATTTTGTGCTTTTCTCCCCCAGACTCTGCAAGTGATCTACCCCTACACCCCCCAGAACGACGACGAGCTGGAGCTGGTCCCAGGGGATTTCATTTTCATGTCCCCAGTGGAGCAAACCAGCACGAGTGAGGGCTGGATTTATGGCATTTCCCTGGCCACTGGCTGCTCGGGGCTGCTGCCCGAAAACTACATCACCAAGGCGGATGAATGTGGCACCTGGGTGTTCCATGGGTAGGTCAAGCTGCTCCTCCCCTTTCCCCAGCTGCAAAAAGGGGCTCAGGGATGCCTGGAGAGGCTCCCTGGAGCAGAGGCTGGGCAGAGTTAAAGGAATAAAGCAGGGATTTATTAAAAGGGATTCAAAGGATGCAGCTTGGGCTGTACAGGAGCCTGGCCAAGGCTACACCAAAGATGGATCCCGAGTCATGAGTTTTCACATTTTTGTAAGTTTTGATCCATTTCCATATTGGGTTCCGGCCAGCCCCTGTTGGGACCTCAGCAATAATCCAGTAGCTCAGTGTCATCCTTGCACCCTAATTCCAGCAGGTAATAGATCAGGACCAACATCATAGTGGGTTTTTCCTCCTTTAAATCGTATAACTCACAAGGTGACCTATTTTTGTCCCACTGGCAGAGTCACTCGGGGCTATTTTACCAGCTGAGACACCCCTGTGAGATTTTATCCTAGCTGCTGCTATCAGGGAGCAGCTCCTGCTGCATTTAAGGCACTGAAAAGTGCCAGCTCTGGCAACTCTTTCTGTCAAAGTAAATGACCACATCCATTACCTGATAATGTTCCTTTTTTTTTTTTTTTTTTTTTAATGACTAAGCAGAGGTAACTGAGTCAGCAGAGGGGCGAGGCAGCTTCTGGAATTGCCTGTCACATTTGAGTCCCCAGGGTTTTGGCCAAAGTCCTTGAATATCTGGGAATAAGAGCTTTATTCAGAGGGACCATCATCAGGCAAGGCCCTCCAGGGAGAGTGGGCTCTGTTAAATCCCTTTGGCTGCCCTTAACAGGAAGCACTGGGGGGAATAAATTCCCAAGCAGGTGGGAAGGGGAAATGGCAGCACTGAAAACTGCAGGAGCAACAGGGCTGAGTCCCTGCCAGGGGGAGAAGCTGTTTTGGGCACAGAAACCCTGAAAACTGCCCAGGGAGAGGCCCCAGGTTTCTGCTGAAGCCACAGCTTGTGCTAAAAAAGTGAGTGCAAACTCCCTGCAGCCATTAATTCCCAAACTTGGGAGCACAAAGCCACAGTCAGTGACACGGACAGGTCCCCAGGTGATGTTAGTGAGCATCCTGTGTCGTCAGGAGGGTCCTGGCAATGTCCATGAGAATATTCCAGGGTGGGGAGAGCCTCCCAGGCCAAAGTTTGGGAATTGTTCTGTGAATTGTTTCTAAGGAAACCAGCCCATGGAGATGGAATTGGTCCCCTCACGTGTGTGCATCACCTGGCAAGGTGCTCTCAGGGCAGCACTAAAACCCCAATAATAATGAAATAACATCACAACAGTAATTACCACCGGCTCCTGGAGGCTACAGAAACATCCTGGGAGCAGCCTGAGCACAAAGAGCGTGCCCAAACACAATGTTTTTCTATTTTTGGCAGGTCCTACTCCATTCTGAACACCACATCTTGCCCATCCCTCCAAGCCTTTGCTGATGGAGCTCTGGAGAGAAGGCAGCAGGAGGACCAAGGGCCAGGGGACGCTGGGCCCCTCACCATCATCTGCCAGAACGTGCAGGTGGGGACCCCACAGCCAGAAATCGTTAGGGACAAGCTTCCAGTGAAAGGATTTTCCCCAAAAATTTATCTTTTCAATCCCTGCAGCACAAGTTACAGAGTTTTTTAATGACACAACGCCATCCCCAAACTGCCTCTTCAGCTGGGGTGGCAGGACCCCATCCTGTGCCCCCTCAGCAGCTTTACACCACCTATAGTAAATGTAAATGCACCAGGATTATATGTAGAGATAAATGTATTATGAATTCCCAAAGAGCCCCACAAACCCATAAAAGCAGTAAGTCCTGCAGCCTTCCCTGGGATGTTTGCACAAGGGCAAAGCAGGAGGAGCCTGCTGCTGGCTCCTGTGGCTTGCTCAGGTGTCTCTCCTCTCTGCTGAAGGTCAAACCTGCCGTCACTGTGATGCCTGGAGCAGAGGCTGGGCAGAGTTAAAGGAATAAAGCAGGGATTTATTAACAAGGTTTTCAAAGGACACACCTTGGGCTGTACAAGAGCCTGGCCAAGGCTACACCCCAGATGGACTCCTGGTCACGAGTTTTCACATTTTTGTAAGTTTTGGTCCATTTCCACGTTGGGTTCATTGTCCAATTCCAGCTCCAGGTGATGCAGTCCCATCCTCCCAGGTTGCTCTCCTCCATTCCCTTTTTGGGGCTGGAAAAGGATTATTCTGTGTGACTGAGCTGTGAGGAGAACTTCTGGCACTTGATACAAAGCTCAGAGTTATGCACAGAGTCTGGAAAATCTAAAAGCCCCAACTGAAGGCATCAATTCCCTTGCAGCCCCTGAGGATAAGCAGCCAGCCGGGCCCTCAGAAGCGCTGCCTGTTCGTCTGCAGGCACGGCGAGAGGATGGATGTGGTTTTTGGGAAGTACTGGCTGTCCCAGTGCTTCGATGCCAAAGGTGAGCCCGGGGTGCTGCATACAGGTAAAACCTTACAGAAGAAAGGCCTTATTGTCGTTGTGTTTGCAGGTCCCCAGGACGAGGGAAGAGATGAATCTGACTCCATATTTCTTAGAAGGCTGATTTATTATATTATAATGTTATATTATATTAAAATGCTATACTAAAGCTGTACTAAAAAGAATAGAGAAAGGAATACATCAGAAGGCTAGGAAAAAGAATGAATAATAAAAATCTGTGACTGCTCAGAGCCTCACACAGCTGGACCATGATTGGTCATCAAGTAAAAACAATCCACACGAGACCAATCAAAGATGCCCCTGTTGGTAAACCATCTCCAGAGCACATTCCACAGCCATCAGGTAGTTACTGTTTGCATTTCTTTTCTGAAGCTTCTCAGGAGAAAAATCCTAGCAAAAGGATTTTCATAAAATATCGTGGTGACACCTTATAATGTTGTAGTTGAGAAGGTCACAACACAAAGCAACACTCCATTTTCAGAAGGTTTCAAACCTGTTTCTATTACAGCATGGATGCTTTTTATGCAATCTTACAAAACTCTTCAGTTTACACTTTACTCATTGGTCAGGAAAGACAAAGTGCTCATTGGAACAGGCAGCTGCAGGTTTCTCTTATTTATCCTTCTTTCTTTCTTGGTTTCTGTGTCAACAACTTTGGTAGAGAATTCTTTCAGGGGTAAACATGGATCCTCGTATCAAACCCCTGTCTGGCTCACAGAAGTCACTGTAAAACTCTTCCACGTTATAAAATTAGGCCTTGCTATTTCAGCTTAATTAACAGGTAGCCTGTGAAGTTCCCAAGGAAAAGAACCACGAGAATGGGTTTACATAACAATCTGTTCTTGTCAAAAGGCAGCTTGCATCTGTGAAAATGAAGAAATCCACAAAGAAAAAAATGCAAACACCTGTGTAAAGAGAGAGTCATAGCACGTACACACCTTCTAACCAATGAATTGAGTGGCAAGAAAGTTAGAATTTATTCTAATAATTTAGTTAGTTTTATTCTAACCAACCTGAATAAAACACAGCAACTTGGAAATTGGATAAAAAATAGGCTGTGACGTTAAAGTGGAGCCTTTGCTGCTGGAACTTTGAAGTGTTCTGCCTGTTGTTATTCACCTTTATCATTATAGGGGGGTATCCCAGGATTTAGTGGAGGAAGGAGAAGTGGCCACTGCCTGGTGGAAGCTGTGGGTTTTAACACAAAATGACGATTTTTGTGCAGCCAGCAGCAGCAAGTCATCCAGGGAGGAAATACTCCATTTGGCAATATTTGGGAAAATATTGCAGGAGTGATTACACCCTGCAGTTACATCACCAAAGAGAAAATGCAGTCGTGATGCTGGTAGTCAGTGTTCATGAAAACATTTGCTGCCATCAGAGAAACATTTTGCACTGCTGGCTCTCGTGAAATGGAGCCATTGACTTCTTAAATGAAAATAACACTGCTCAGAGTCAGTTTTGGGGCATAAATTGCTGTTTTCAACCCGCTTGGGTTTCATACCAGTGAACAAATTATAACTTCAGGCTCTGTTGGCTTAGAGTTGATCAGAAATCTGTCCTAAAAGTCTTTCTTCTATTCAAAACCACAAATACCTTGTAGTGAAAGGATAATTTAACAACTCCCTTCATTCTAAACTATGGCTAAAGAGCTCTGGTGTTCTCACCTCCTGTAAAAGTGGAATGTTTGTTGTGGGATAGAAATTACTTTCCCTTGGGGAAATCAGTCCTAAAAAAAAATGTTAGAACCTTAGCAACATTCTGTGCTGATTTTGAGCTGGTGAGAGGTATTTAATTTAATTTTTGTGAGATTCCTGATGGATTTACAAGGGAACCAAAAAACCAAAACTACTCACAAGCCAGGCTTAGGCAGGACCTGCACAGCACAGCTGAGGTGGTGGGAGAGGGGAAAATCAGGTGTGATGTCCCTGCCTCTGCCTGGGGGAATAATTGCAGCTTGGCACCTCTCCCTGCAGGCAGGTACATGCGCAGTAACCTGAATATGCCTCACAATTTACCTCAGAGGAGTGGTGGTTTCAGGGATTACGAAAAAGATGCTCCCATCACCGTGCTGGGCTGCACCCAGGCCAGGCTCGTGGGTAAGTGCTGCTCAGCAGGCAAAGCTTGCAGCTGGACGAGGGGGGATTTGGGGGGGATTTTGGGAAGGAATTGCTCCTATGAGTGTGGCACAGGTTGTCCATCCATGGAAGTGTCCAAGGCCAGGCTGGACAGGGTTTGGAGCAAGCTGGGGTTGTGGAAAATGTTCCTGCCGAGGGGTTTTTTGGTTTTTTCCATCCCAAATGATTCCATGGGTTTGGAGCTACCTGGTTTAGTAGAAGGTGTCTCTGCCCAGGGAGGTTTTGGTTTTTCTAACCCAAATCATTCAATGGGTTTGGAGCAACCTGGTTTAGTGGAAGGTGTCTCTGCCCAGGAGGTTTTTGGTTTTTCAAACCCAAATGATTCCAAGTTTGATCTTGCCCAGGAAGCTTCATTATCTTCCTCCCCATCAGAGAAAGGAAACGTGCAAGGCAGGAAAAAATGGATTGGATGCCCTGAGCTAACGGGATTTAAATCTTTCAAGGAGCTTTGCAAAGTCTCTTCACCCTCCCCAGCAATCAAACCCAAATGATGCCATGGTTCCATGAAGATCTTGCCCAGGAAGCTTCATTATCTTCCTCCCACTTCCTCCCATTATCTTCCTCCCCATCAGAGAAAGGAAACGTGCAAGGCAGGAAAAAATGGATTGGATGCCCTGAGCTAATGGGATTTAAATCTTTCAAGGAGCTTTGCAAAGTCTCTTCACCCTCCCCAGCAATTTCCCTCTCCCAAAGGAAACCTCATCTCCTTCAGCTGATGAGGAGAAGGCAAAGCAGAGATGTAGGACTGGGGGAAATCAAAGCCATCAAAGCATGGGTGCCGTGGGAAGATTGTGTTATTATCCACATTGTGGAGCAATGCAGCAGTGTGGCTGTCACCTCCTGCAAAATCTGCTTTTTTCACCCAGTTTGCCACACCAGTATCCTTTTATCAGTCTGCCTGGCTTTATATTGTCACAAATAACTTCCAGTGTTCTCCCATCCTGATCCCTGCCTCCTGAGCCTGCTGGTTTGTGCACAGACACAAAATCCTCTGCCAGGAGCACATCTTGAGAGCTGTGATGAGGGAGCCCAGCCCCTCAAAGACACGAGCTCTGAGCATTTCCTCCAACTCAGATCCTTCCGAGCACTCCTTGCTGGTCACATCCAAAGTGGGGCAGCTAAAATTATCCTGCCTTTTGTGAACACAAATAAATCACAGCGCAGCAGCAGGAGGGTGCTCAGGCTCCACATGGCAGCGGGGTTTGCAGTCTGCACAGGACAGAAGGGACCCTGTGAGTGTCACAGCACACTTTGCTGGTGGCATTTGGGGGACAGGACACTTAGGGTGGCATTAAGAGCTCCAAGGACACTGCTGATGGCACTCAGGGACAAGGACACACTTTGGTGGCATTAAGAGCTCCAAGGACACTTTGCTGGTGGCATTAGAGGGGTCTCTGGACACCCTTTCCTGGTGGCATTCAAGGGGTCTGAGGACACTTTGCTGGTGGCTTTGAAGAGCTCCAAGGACACATTTTGCTGTGGCATTCAGGGGTTCAAGGACACACTTTGCTAATGGCAGTAAAGGGGTCCAAGGACACACAATTTGTGACATTAAAGGGGTCCAAGGACACTTTGCTGGTGGCAGTAAAGGGGTCCCAGGACACATTTTGTGGGGCATTAAAGGGGTTTGAGGACACACATCAGTAGTGGCATTAAAAAGGTCCAAGGACACACTTTGTGTGGCATTAAAGGGGTCCAAGGACACATTTTGTGTGGCATTAAAGGGGTCCAAGACACATTTTGTGTGGCATTAAAGGGGTCCAAGGACACAATTTGTGTGGCATTAAAAGGGTTTGAGGACACACTTTATGTGGCATTAAAAGGTTCCAAGGACACACTTTCCTGGTGGCATTTGGGGGATCTTAGGATACACTTTGCTGGTGGCATTAAAGGGGTCCAAGGACACAATTTGTGTGGCATTAAAAGGGTTTGAGGACACACTTTATGTAGCATTAAAAGGGTTCCAAGGACACACCTTGTGTGGCATTGAAAGGGTCTGAGGACACACCTTGTGTGGCATTAAAAGGTTCCAAGGACACGTTTTGCTGGTGGCACTGAGGGGGTCTGGGGACACACCTTGCCATGGCATTCAAGGGTCCAAGGACACGGCTGCAGCTGTGGTGGCACCGTGTGACCTCCACACGATTGCTGTGATGACCCAAGCCCTGAGCAGCTCCTGTGACACGGGGCTGGCAGATGTCCCTCTCCTCAGTGTCCCCTCTTCTCCCAAGGCGTTTCTAGGTCAGCCTGCCATGGTGACAGCCACTGTCAGGGTGAGTGTCCCCTCCTTGCTGCCACGCCTTTTCCAGAAGGAAAATGTGCCTGCTGCTCACTGCCAGCCTGAGCAGATCCCTGCTCTCCTTGGCTTCTGCGGGAAAATTAAAACCCTGATACAGGAACATTAAAACCCTTATGTAGGAATATTGAAACCCTGATGTAGGAAAATTAAAACCCTGATACAGGAACATTAAAACCCTTATGTAGGAATATTAAAAACCCCATGCAGGAATATTAAAAACCCTGATGTAGGAATATTAAAAACCCTGATGTAGGAATATTGAAACCCTGATACAGGAATATTAAAAACCCTGATTCAGGACCATTAAAAACCCTGATTCAGGACCATTAAAAACCCTGAAATATGACTATTAAAACCCTGATACAGGAACATTAAAACCCTTATACAGGAATATTAAAACCCTTATATAGGAATATTAAAAATGCTGACGTAGGAACATTGAAACCCTGATGTAGAAATATTGAAACCCTGACACAGGAATATTAAAACCCTGATGTAGGAACATTGAAACCCGGAAGTAGGAATATTAAAACCTTGAAGTAGGAACATTAAAACCCTGATACAGGAACATTAAAACCCTGATGCAGAAACATGGAAGCCCTGATGTAGAAATATCAAAAACCCTGATACGGGAATATTTAAAACCCTGATGCAGGAATATTAAAACCCTGATGCAGTAATATTAAAACCCTGATGCAGGAATATTTAAAGCCCTGCTATTAACACATTACCAAGCCTGGCAGTGGAGGTGATTCTCATCCCGTTGGCAGTGGTCTCTCCCAGCTGTGTAATGAGATTTATGCTAGCAGGGACTCCAGCCCACTGAATTCAGCTGGGTTTGAGTTGTGTTCAATATAAAAGCCCTGCTATTAACACATTACCAAGCCTGGCATTGGAGGTGATTCTCATCCCATTGGCAGTGGTCTCTCCCAGCTGTGTAATGAGATTTATGCCAGCAGGGACTCCAGCCCACTGAATTCAGCTGGGTTTGAGTTGTGTTCAATCCTCTGATTTATGGCTTACAAATGCAATTAAATTTGTAAACCCAAGACCTTTACAATTTTTCTGGCTGCTTTTTTGGCCAGACCCAAAGAAGCAGCTCCTTGCAGTGCCTTTCACCTGGATTTATTCACAAAAATCAGAACTTTCTTGCAGGTGAAGCCTTGCTAGAAACCAACACCATTGTGGACTACATCTACAGCTCGCCATCGCTGCGCTGCGTGCAGACAGCCCACAACATCCTGAAAGGTAAGAGCACAGGGGACAGGCTGCATTCTCCTCATCTGCTGCACAAAACAGCAGCAAATTTATTATTATATTATTATATTACATATATTATATTGGTATACTGTTATAGATATAATATAATTTATTTAATTGTTTAAATAAATCTAATTTATTTGATTTATTTAATTTCTTATTTATTTGTTTTGAATTTATTTATATATTATAATCAATTAATTAATGCTTTATTTGAATTAGTATTTTGTTTACATTTATTATTTTATTTAATTGTTCTATTATATATCCTATTCTATTATTCTATTCTTATATTTTATTATAGATAATATTATTACAATCTGTATTATTCTATTCTATTCTTCTATTATTATTATTATTATTATTATTATTATTATTATTATTATTATTATTATTATTATATATTAAGTGACTGGCAATCATTATTTCCATCGCAATATATTTTATATCAGCACAATCCATAAGGAACCCTTTTCTAATTGCACCAGCTGCCAACCAGAGCTTGACATTCATTACACGTTCATTCATTCATACATTATTTTATAATTAATAATTATTTAATTATTTACAAATCAATTGTAGAGCATAATTAAACAAACACTTAATTTTTTATTATAGATAATATTATTACAATCTGTATTATTCTAGTTTATTCTTTTATTATTATTATTATTATTATTATTATTATTATTATTATTATTATTATTATAATATATTAAGTGACTGGCAATCATTATTTCCATCGCAATATATTTTATATCAGCACAATCCATAAGGAACCCTTTTCTAATTGCACCAGCTGCCAACCAGAGCTTGACATTCATTACACGTTCATTCATTCATACATTATTTTATAATTAATAATTATTTAATTATTTACAAATCAATTGTAGAGCATAATTAAACAAACACTTAATTTTCTATAGAAAACCAACAAATTGTTGGCTTGTTTCAGCGGACCATACACATGAAATAAATTTAATTATTTGTCATTTTTATAGTGAATATTCTTTTAATTCTTTACAAATCAGTTCTAGGGCATTCTCTCAGAATTCTCTCCGTTTCCCAGGCATGCAGCAGGAAGATCCGCGTGGAGCCGGGCCTGTTCGAGTGGACCATACACATGAAATAATTTTTTTTTTTCATTTTTATAATGGATAATTTTTAATTCTTTACAAATCAATTCTAGGGCATTCTCTCATAGAATTCTGTCCGTTTCCCAGGCATGCAGCAGGAGAACACGCTGAAGATCCGCGTGGAGCCGGGCCTGTTCGAGCAGACCATGAAATAAATCCAATTCTTTTTCATTTTCATAACGAATCATTTTTTACTTATTTACAAATCAATTCTAGGGCATTCTCTCATAGAATTCTGTCCGTTTCCCAGGCATGCAGCAGGAGAACACGCTGAAGATCCGCGTGGAGCCGGGCCTGTTCGAGTGGACCAAGTGGGTGTCGGGGAGCTCGCTGCCCGCCTGGATCCCGCCCGCGGACCTGGCCGCGGCCACGCTCAGCGTGGACACAACCTACAGGTACCGGGGCTGGGGGCTCCGCGGGGGCTCCGCACCCAGCTCTGCCCGGGGGCAACTGCAGTGCTCAGGGGAAGAGTGCTCAGGCTCTCGAAGGAAACTCGGAGCAGGCTCGAGGCTGCTGTGCTGAATGTGGCCTGAAAATTATATATAAATACATATATTTTTTAAAAAAGAACATTTTTTAAATTATTTATATATATATATGTGTGTGTATATATATATGTGTCTATATGTGTGTGTCTATATACGTATATATATAAAATAATATCTATAAAAATAGATCTAGAAAAATATATAAATATGACCTGAACATTCTATATTTTATATATATAGAATATGAAATATATAGATAATTATCTAATATATATTATTTTATATATTTATATCTACATTATATAAACATATATAGAAAATACATACACCATATGTGAAACACATATATATAATTATCAATATTTATTTATAAATTATATAAATATAATTTTATATTAAAATATATGTATAGAATAAATTTTGGCTTATTATAAACCAAGATTCCCATATCACTGGCAATTCCTCCTGATCATGGACCTTCCAGTTAGAATTCTATATTTGTACAATCTCCTGGCTGTGTTTTTCTCCTCCCAGACCCCTTGCAGTTAGAATTCTTTATTTTTACAATATTTCCCGGCTGTGTTTTTCTCCTCCCAGACCTCATATTCCCGTCAGCAAGTTGGTGGTTTCTGAGTCGTACGACTCCTACATCAGCAGAAGCTACCAAGTAACGAAGGAAATCATCAGTGAATGTAAAGGCAAAGGTGAGTGCTGCAGAGGGGATGGCAATTCCAATATTCCTGAAACCTTTCCCTCTGAGGGGATGAATTCCCACCTCTGGATCTCTCATCCTCTCTCCCAGAAGCATCAGAAAGTCCTGAGCTTTAATTTCAGATAAACTCCTCTTACAGGAGAGGGCCAGAAAGTCAAATAGCAGAATTATTTTAGGCATCCCATTGGAATGATGGGAATTTATTCCCAAGGGAATAAATGAATTATTTTTCAGATGCATCACCTTACAAGAAAGGGCCATAAAGTTAAATAGCAGAATTGTTTTAGGGATCCCAACCCATTGGAGTGATAGGAATTTATTCCCAAGGGAATAAATGAATTATTTGCCCTCTGCTGTGTGTTCCCAGCACTAAATGGGGCATTTGTCCTCCAAAAACCTTAGAACATTTCTCCAAACACAATACTGAATTGTTTTTTTTTAATTCCTAGCTGTCGTTGTTGATCCAAAACATTCTGAGAATCCCTAAATTCTGGTGTTTTCACTGATTTCCTCTCACTGACCTGTCTCTGCCTTCTAAGCTTTGATATGAATGGTTTGCACACAAAATTCAAAAGCACAGTGGGGCAATTTCCAGCACTAAATGGGGCATTTGCCCTCCAAAAACCTTAGAACATCTCTCCAAACACAATACTGAATTTTTTTTTTAAATCCCTAGCTGTCGTTGTTGATCCAGAACATTCTGAGAATCCCTAAATTCTGGTGTTTTCACTGATTTCGTCTCACTGACCTGTCTCTGCCTTCTAAGCTTTGATATGAATGGTTTGCACACAAAATTCAAAAGCACAGTGGGGCATTGCTTGTGAAGGATCTCGGAAATAGAAACTGTGCAAAGCCAGCAAGTGAAATTCAAGTGTTTGTTGTAACAGGAATTCATTTTTGCCTAGGCAAAAAGCATCTGCTTCCCAACACAGCTGAAATCTCACTGGAATTCTTGGTTTTTGCCAGAAAGCATTTTTAAAGCAAGTAGGAGTGAGTTAACCACTACCCTGAAAATTGAGAAATGCTCTAAACATGTTAACAAATCCCATTTTCCCCTTCATTCACTATTGTATTTGCAGGGTGCCCCGTGGCAGGAAGGAATGATGAATCTGTCTCCATGTTCTCAGAAGGCTAATTTATTATTTTATTGTCTATATTATACTAAAGAATACTATACTAAACTATACTAGAATACAGAAAGGATACAGACAGAAAGCTAAAAAAATAATAATGAAAACTTGTGACTCTCTCCAGAGTTCCAACACAGACTGGCCAACGAGTCAAAACAATTCAATTAAACAATCACCTGTGGGTAAACAATCTCCAACCACATTCCAAAGCAGCAAAACACAGGAGAAGCAAATGAGATAAGAATTGTTTTCCTTTTTCTCTGAGGCTCCTCAGCTTCCCAGGAGAAAAATCTTAGCAAAGGGATTTTTCAGAAAATACAAATGTGACAATTCTCAGTTTGATGTGTTGTTGTATGATAAAGTGTTTTAAAAGGCTGCTTGATCTGGGGCACCAGCCCCCAACCCTGGCTTTAGCTCCCTCCTCAGGCTGCGTTTCTCATTTTGTCTCAGGAAACAACATCCTGATCGTGGCTCACGCATCCTCCCTGGAGGCCTGCACCTGCCAGCTCCAGGGGCTGTCACCCCAGAACTCCAAGGATTTTGTACAGATGGTCCGAAAGGTAACGGCCAGCGGGAGCAGGGCCCTGGCTCTGCAGAGACAAAACCAGCTGGAAATCTGCTGCAGCAGGGTTTGGGCTGAGCTTCACTCATGTCAGGAGTCAGGAGGGTGAGGGAGAAGGGTTTGAGGGGCTGGGACAGAGTGTGGGGTCAGGGGCCCTCCTGAGATGGTTTTGCAGGGACTCTTTAGGGCTTTTTTGAAGTCAGGTGTCCATCTAAAATGGGTTTGCAAGGACTATTTGTGCTTTGTGGGGTCAGATGCCCACCTAAGTTTGGTGTTTTGTGGGGTCAGATGCCCATTTAAGATGGGTTTGCAGGGACTCTTTTTGGCTTTGTGGGGTCAGGTGCCCTCCTGAGATGGGTTTGCAGGGGCTGTTTGTGCTTTGTGGGGTCAGGTGTCCATCTAAGGTGGGTTTGCAGGGACAATTTAGGGTTTTGTGGGGTCAGATACCCACCTGAGTTTGGTGTTTTGTGGGGTCAGATGCCTATTTAAGATGGGTTTGCAGGGACAGTCTGTGCTTTGTGGGGTCAGATGCCCACCTGAGATGGGCTTGCAGAGACTCTTTTTGGCTTTGTGGGGTCAGGTGCCCTCCTGAGATGGGTTTGCAGGGGCTGTTTGTGCTTTGTGGGGTCAGGTGTCCATCTAAGATGGGTTTGCAGAGACTCTTTTTGGCTTTGTGGGGTCAGATGCCCACCTGAGATGGGTTTGCAGGGACTCTTTAGGGCTTTGTGGGTAGCAGGGGCTGTGCAGAGAGCCCCAAATCTCTCCAGCACAGCCAGCCGAGCATTTCAGCCCTACAGCACCTCCCCTGCTCATCTAAAGAGATGTTCACCACCAAAAGGCTGGAAATTATAACAGGTTTTTATTTCCTCTCCACGTTTCCCCCAAAGCTGTGCTGGTTTGGGACCACATTTGCTTTGAGCTGGTCCCTATTTTAAAGCTGCGGGTTTTTATTTCTTCTCCTTTCTTGCCCTCTGCAGAGGCTCCCTGGGGTATTCAGGTCTCATCTGGGAACCCCTGAGCTGCAGGAACATCCACATTTCCCCCAAAGTTCAAACAAAACAGGAACAAAAATGTTCCTGAGGTGCAGGAACGTTCACGTTTCTCCCAAAGCTGTTCTGGTTTGGGACCACATTTGCTTTGAGCTGGTCCCTATTTTAAAGCTGCGTTCCATTTAAAACAACATTCCTTTCAAAATTACGTTTTTAAAACTGAATTCTTAAACCTACATTCCATTCAAAACTGTATTTTTAAAAACTTCATTCTTAAAATTACATTCTCAGAACTACATTCTATTCAAAACTGCATTTTTAAACCCACATTCCAAGGGCATCATCTGTTTGGTTTTTTTTTCCCAGTGTTTTGCACAGGCAGTGGTGCACAGTCTGTCAATCACCATCTGAAAATGGACTTTGGGAGGGGGAAAGGGAGAAAAAAGGGTGAAATCCTGGAGTGGCACAGCAGGGCTTCACCCCTGGGGATTGCACAGCTCAACCCCTGCTTTTTTTGCCTTAATCCCCACCTCTCTCCTCACAGATTCCCTACCTGGGCTTTTGCTCCTGTGAAGAACTGGGGGACACTGGTGTGTGGCAGCTCACAGACCCTCCCATCCTCCCTCTCACCCATGGACCAACTGGAGGCTTTAACTGGAGAGAAACCCTCCTGCAGGAGTAGGGAGCAGCCCAGCAAGGACAGCCCTTCCCAGCGCTGGAGAATGGCTCTTCTTCTTCCTTGTGTTTCATTGCCAGCAGGAAAAACCCTCCTCATCTGTCCCGTGGCTCCCTCCAAGCGTATCTCACACAGCCACAGCCCTGCCAAAATCCTCATTTACAACAAAATGGGCTGATTTGAGGCGGGGCAGGGGGGGAATATTAAAATACAGCTCGAGGTTCTTGCACGGCTCGGGGTTGGTTTCCTCACCTTGAAGGAGCTCTGGTGACACTTTCATGCCACTGCAGGGACAGGGAGCTCTGTGTGTGTCAGGCAGGATGCTGGGGATGTTTTCTATTTTTGCAAAGTGTCTGCAGCCTTGTTCAGCACCTCGTGCTTGCTCCACTCCCAAAGCCCCCAAAGCCTCAGCACCTCCCAGAAAAATAAAAGGGTTTTATTTCCTTCCCCCAGGCTGGGAAGGAGCCCAGCATGCTGCCCCAGGTTATTCCTCCCTCTCCTCTGAGCAGAGATGGGAGTGCTCAAAGTGTGCTGGATGTTGTGCAGAGATTGGTTGGTATTCAGGAAAATTCTGGATCAGAGGAAAATTCTGAGTTTCACATCTGTTGCAGGTGAACTGCAATTCCAGCTTCCCTAAAGAGGAGAAAAAAACTGGGCTGGAACAAACCCCCCAAAAAAGGAGAAATAATTGGGATGGCGCAAACTCCAAAACAAGGAGAAATAATTGGGATGGCGCAAACTCCAAAACAAGGAGAAATAATTGGGATGGCGCAAACTCCAAAACAAGGAGAAATAATTGGGATGGCGCAAACTCCAAAACAAGGAGAAATAATTGGGATGGCGCAAACTCCAAAACAAGGAGAAATAATTGGGATGGCGCAAACTCCAAAACAAGGAGAAATAATTGGGATGGCGCAAACTCCAAAACAAGGAGAAATAATTGGGATGGCGCAAACTCCAAAACAAGGAGAAATAATTGGGATGGCGCAAACTCCAAAACAAGGAGAAATAATTGGGATGGCGCAAACTCCAAAACAAGGAGAAATAATTGGGATGGCGCAAACTCCAAAACAAGGAGAAATAATTGGGATGGCGCAAACTCCAAAACAAGGAGAAATAATTGGGATGGCGCAAACTCCAAAACAAGGAGAAATAATTGGGATGGCGCAAACTCCAAAACAAGGAGAAATAATTGGGATGGCGCAAACTCCAAAACAAGGAGAAATAATTGGGATGGCGCAAACTCCAAAACAAGGAGAAATAATTGGGATGGCGCAAACTCCAAAACAAGGAGAAATAATTGGGATGGCGCAAACTCCAAAACAAGGAGAAATAATTGGGATGGCGCAAACTCCAAAACAAGGAGAAATAATTGGGATGGCGCAAACTCCAAAACAAGGAGAAATAATTGGGATGGCGCAAACTCCAAAACAAGGAGAAATAATTGGGATGGCGCAAACTCCAAAACAAGGAGAAATAATTGGGATGGCGCAAACTCCAAAACAAGGAGAAATAATTGGGATGGCGCAAACTCCAAAACAAGGAGAAATAATTGGGATGGCGCAAACTCCAAAACAAGGAGAAATAATTGGGATGGCGCAAACTCCAAAACAAGGAGAAATAATTGGGATGGCGCAAACTCCAAAACAAGGAGAAATAATTGGGATGGCGCAAACTCCAAAACAAGGAGAAATAATTGGGATGGCGCAAACTCCAAAACAAGGAGAAATAATTGGGATGGCGCAAACTCCAAAACAAGGAGAAATAATTGGGATGGCGCAAACTCCAAAACAAGGAGAAATAATTGGGATGGCGCAAACTCCAAAACAAGGAGAAATAATTGGGATGGCGCAAACTCCAAAACAAGGAGAAATAATTGGGATGGCGCAAACTCCAAAACAAGGAGAAATAATTGGGATGGCGCAAACTCCAAAACAAGGAGAAATAATTGGGATGGCGCAAACTCCAAAACAAGGAGAAATAATTGGGATGGCGCAAACTCCAAAACAAGGAGAAATAATTGGGATGGCGCAAACTCCAAAACAAGGAGAAATAATTGGGATGGCGCAAACTCCAAAACAAGGAGAAATAATTGGGATGGCGCAAACTCCAAAACAAGGAGAAATAATTGGGATGGAGGAAACCCCAAAGAAAAACAATTGGGGTGGAGGAAACCCCAAAAAAAGATAAATAATAGGGATGGAGGAAACGCCCAAAACAAGGAGAAATAACTAGGATGGAGGAAACCCCAAAACAAGAGAAACAATTGGGATGGAGGAAACCCCCAAAGGAGAAACAGCTGGGATGGAGCAAACCCCAAAAAAAGGAAACCCCAAAAGAGAAACAACTGGGCTGGAGCAACCCCGGAGGAGCTGAGCTCAGTTTGGAGCTGCCCATCCTGTCCATGCTCAGCCCAGCCTGGCCAGCATCCCAGCTATTCCCACAATCCACAGGACAAATATCCCATTATTCCTACTTTTAGGACTGTGTAACACCCCTGAGGCCACTCGTAAGTGCTTTGTCACAGCAGGGATGGAACTGAAAAGTCAGGGAGAAAATTTAGGACAGGGCAAGGGAATTAAAAAAAAAATCCTGTTCCTGTGTTGTTTTATCGCTGTCAGGTTCATTTTTAATTGGCAGTTAAACTATTTTTGGCTGTGTGCAGACATTCTGAGGAGCATTTCTGGCTTGTTTTCATCCATAAAAAAAAAAAATTAATTAAATATTTGACAATCACACCAAAAAAAAAAAGAAAGAATTTGGTTGCTGAAGTGTGTGAATTCTCCAGATTTTTTGTTTCATGCCAGCAAGGTGTAAATTAGGGCAGGAAATATTGTTGTATTCTAATATTTATTGCTCAGATCCTGCTGGAGATGAGTGACATTAAAAGGAGTTTTTTAGGAGCATGAAACAGAGAGGGAGCAAAAGCTGAATGCACAATTTGGGTGGTGTCAGCTGCTCTTTGATATAGTAATAGAGAAAAAAAGTGTTCTGCTTGAGGAGGTAGATGTTAAAATACTCTTCTTTAAGAAAATATATATATTTTTGGATGTTTGGGAAATATTTTGACAATTGTAGTCTTCGTCTCCAATTAGGTGTCAAGAATCACAGGGAGAAAAATCTTATTTTCTTCAGCATTTTGAGTTTTCTTGGGGGTTTTGTGTTAAGCAGTCTCGTGTTGAAAAGGCTTTTTGGGTGGAAGAAAAGAGAAAAAACGTTGTTCCTTTTAAATTTGTAATTGAGAGGTTAAGAAGACAAAAGAATTGCTGCTTCACTTTCACCCCGTTAATGTGGATTTAATGCTGGTTAATGTGGATTTAATGTCACTCCAGTGGTTTGTCCCAGAACATTCAACTTGAGCTCGCCAAAATCTTTTCCTTCACTGTGAGCTGCATCAGATCCCAAGTTTATTCTAACAGCACTTCCCAGGTTTCTCCTTCTCTCCACAATTAAGGGGAAAAAAAGCTGCAAACCTGCCAAGAGCAAACAGTTAATTTTTATCATTTGCAATGTATGGCTCAGAAAAAAAACAAGAATTAAATGGACATTGCACCCAGATCAACAGAGCTTTGCTTGTTTATGCAAAATGAGGATCCAGACCGTGATAACTTCAGTAAAAATTGGTATTTCCCTTTTCACTCCAGACAGAAGCTGGCTGAGGCCAGGGGACTCTGCTGATGGGAAATTGTCGTGAATTTGAGAGAGTTTTTATCCCCAAACGATGGCCTTGGTTTGTGGTTTGGTTTAATTCCTGTCTAAAGAGGCACAGAGGAAATTATCAAGGCAGGAGGGATGGGGGAGCAGAGTGCTGGGATGGCGTCACGGAATAAAAATGCAATTAACAGTGGCTGTTAATTAACAGGTTGGCTGCAAAGGCTCTAAATCACTTCTTGCTGCTCCCCACTTCCTCAAATTCATCCCCCAGGGACTCTTCATAACCCACAACAGAAAATACTCAGCCAGTTCCTTCATTATTTCCCCTTAAAATGTATTTTCTGAACTTTCTCTCCATGACATCTCTTCAGACTTGATGTTATCAACAGCTCCTTTTTCTTTCGGTTTTCTTTTGTTTCATTTTCAACCTGTTGTATCGTTCTGTTTATTACGGATTTTATTTTTTATTTAGTGTGAGCAGATTGTATTTATTTGAGAAAAAAAAAAAACAAAATGTTTGCTGTTTAAAAAAACCCCAACAATTGCACTCAGTTTTGAGTGCTAACAACTGTTAAAACAACCACTGCGTTTGAATTTGCTTCTCACATTAAACGGAACTCTGAAAAGCCAGACGCAAATATCTCGAAGGTGATTTAATCAAGATGCCAAGCGCCCTTCCTATTTCAGATTTCCTCCGGAGCGTGGTGGGATTTTGAGCTGCGTTTTCCTTTTTTCCTGAGGCTGAAATTCACTCACTTGACAGCAGATGGCACAAAATTCCCCCGACTGCTCTTCTCCGGGCTCAGGGATGCGGTTTTCCCTCTGAATTCAGATTTTCCCCGGAGTTATTTCCCTCTCGGGTCTGGATGTGTGGAACTGAAGCCACAACTTTCAAGCCAAACTTACTTTTCCAACGCATCTTTCTCAATCTGGATTTTCATTTTCATCATCTTTCAACACAGCTGCTTTTAAATTCACGACTTTCAGCTCTGTTTCCCAGTAAAATCGATTCGTGGTGATGAACACAACAGCCACAGCTTTCATCAGCCCAATACCCACTGAGTGATGCACCTGACGGTTTCATGGAAACGGGTCCTAATAAACCAGGAATAAAACACACCATGTGTTTATCATTAATTTTCTCCTCTTCACTCAAGAACACACAGGTTTTGAACAATAAATATCGAACTAAATTCAGTTTATTTTGACTGTAATAGTCGTCCACACCAAATTTTGAGCAGTTGAAAAGGAGGGCCAGAAGAGGATCTGCCGAAAATTCTTTTTGGGGAATCACAAATCACGAGATAAACTTGGATAAATGTGATGTTATCACACACCTGGGGGGACACCGGGCTGGAATCATCAGACCTGCAAGGGGAAACCCGAATTTTGTCCCCTGGCACCTGCTGGTGTCCCCATCCCTCCTCCCAGCACCTCCTGCCACAAGCACAGGCAGCAATTCCCTTTTCCCACTGCTGCTCCTGCAGCACCCCCGCAGGCACAGCCAGCCAAAAACCTCCGGGCAACGCCACAGTGGCACAAAAGTGACATTTTCTTTTTAGTCCAGGCATTTTAAATTGGTTTTTAGGCATCCTTGCCACATCCGTGAGTGTCATTTTTATAATTCAGGCATTTAAAATGGGTTTTAAGCTGCCTTGCCACTTCCACGAGTGACATTTTTTAGTCCAAGCATTTAAAATGGGTTTTCAAGCAACTTTGCCACTTCCACAAGTGACATTATTATAATCCAAGGATTTAAAATGCGTTTTAAGCCGCCTTGCCATATCCACAAGTGGCTTTTTTTATTTTTAATCCAGACATTTAAAATGGGTTTTAAGCAGCCTTACCTCATCCATGAGGTAAGGCTGCTTAAAACTTTTTTTTAATCCAAGGATTTAAAATGTATTTTCAAGCAGCCTTGCCACTTCCACGAGTGACATTTTTTAGTCCAGCCATTTAAAACAGGTTTTCAAGCAGCTTTGCCACTTCCACAGGTGTAAATTTTATAATCCAGGCATTTAAAATGGGTTTTAAACTGCCTTGCCATATAT